GACGTTTCAAAGAATAGAGCAAATGCAATTTGTAACACGTATTTTTTAATTTGTCAGGATTCATTCCCCTGTCTAGAACAACTGAAATTCAAACATAATGACAACATGAAGGAGATATGGCGTGGTCAATATCCAGGGGTCTATTTTCCCAAACTAAAAGGCATCAAACTCCACCAGTTACAAAAATGCTTGACTCTCTTTCCTTCTTTTAATTTCTTCTTCCAGACACTACCCAGTCTTGAGAAGCTGGATGTGAGTGAAGCTTCCTTTCATGAAATATTCCAATGTGAAAGACTTCATAGTAAGGGAAGACCTGTACATGCCCCCTCTCGGTTAAGTGAATTAAAATTATCAAAACCTAGTGGATTAATGCCTCTTTGGAAGGAAGAATCTGACCTCAAATTGATTTCCTGTAACTTGAGAACTCTAAAGGTGCATGAGTGTATCAAGTTGGTGAATTTAGTGCCATCAGTTGTATCTTTTGAAAAGCTGCAGATTCTAGAAATATCAAAATGTCATGGACTTAAAAATTTGGTGAGTTACTCAACTGCTAAAAGCTTGGAACAGCTGAAAAGAATGTGTATAACTCATTGTGACTCGGTGGAAGAAATTGTCAAATGCTTGGAAGATGATGTGAAGGATGGCATTGTCTTTAGCAAACTCAAGTCTTTGCAACTTCGCGGTCTTCCCAAACTTTCAAGCTTTTGCACAGGGAAGTGTGACTTTGAGTTCCCATCTTTGAAAGAAGTAATTGTGATAGGATGTCCACAGATGAAATATTTTTCCTTAGGAAAGACAGGAACAAAAGAACTACAAAATGTTCAATGGATAGATGATGAAGAGAAAATACATTGGGTAAGCGATCTTAACAGCACAATACAGGACTTATTCACTCAAAAGGTACACACTGATTCAAAAGATTTCCTTGTATGTTTCTCAATCATTATATATTCAGTCTTCTTTACTTAATATTACTGGATTTAGTGAAATAGAAGAAGAATTAAAATGTCAATATAATATGATTTAAGAAAATTATTTAAATAATTTTTTTTTGTTGGGATCGTATGGGATAATTTAGAGGGAAGGATAAAGAATTGTATGGGTCTACTGTCTTCCTTTTGAATGGCTAAGAGACTAGCCAATCTTTCTTGTTTGAGTTTCTTAAAGGCATAGAACAAAAGCACTTTCGATAAGGGGATTAGAAGAAGAGCTTACAAGGTCAATTGAGGGTGGCTTCTCTTTCGCTTAGTTTTTGATTCTAATGTACATTAATAAAGAACTAAGGGTGGATCATTCATTTTCTATAATCCTTAATTTAATAATCATAGAGACATTAGTGTAGTGACAGTTAGAGAAGAACTATAATTTCAAAAACTTAGGGAATATTTTTGTATATATATTTCTCCAATTTGATTTTTGTGATCATTTGGATGGGGTTATTAATGTTTTTCTCTTTCTTTTATTGATATTATTGTTATTGTTATTGGGTTCTGTGTTATATCAAGGATTAATTTATTGGGTTTTGCAGGTTGGATACCTGAATCAGTCTGGAACTTTCATGAAATTCTCTGAGTTTTCTGAAATTGAAATTTCGAAAAAGAATCTTGAAGAATTAGCATTACTTTCCAGGCTTCAATATTTAACAAAGTTGAAGGTGGTCAATTGTTCTAATTTGAAGTTTCTGTTTACATTCGCAATGGTTAAAAGTTTTGTGCAACTTGAAAAACTCTGGATTAGCGGATGTGAGATGATGGAAGTGGTAATATTGATAGAAGGAACAGTAGAAGAAGAAAAGATTTGCCAGACGGTGTTCCCCAAACTAGAGATCTTGACACTAAATGACCTACCCCAGCTTGCAACATTTTGCTCCAATTGTGATTCTCTAGGAAAAATTTTTGATTCTGAAAGAGTCAATTTTGGTACTGGATCACAAAAACTGCTAGCCACACAATCAACTTTGGCGGAAATAGAAGCCACCAAGGTTGTATTTTCTCAAGTGACACACCTGATGCTTAGACTCTTACCAAAATTCAAGAGTTTCTTCCCTCAAATGCACATCACAGAATGGCCATCATTGGAAAGTTTAGTTGTGATCGAGTGTCATGGAGCGCAAATAGTTGCTTCAGAATTTTCAAGCACTGAGATGACACATGAAAACAGCCAACTTGAAAGGGAATCTCAACATCTCATGTTTTGGATGAGCAAGGTACGTACTATCAAGTCCAAAAGGAAAAAATGCATATATCTTATACAAATACGTGCTCTTCATTTTTGTTCTAACAATAAATGAAGGAAAGAAAATAGGAAAAGTAATATATGAGGACAAAATAAAGAAAATTTTCTATTTGTTTTCCTTGTACTAATTTAATTTTATTTTGAAGATAAAGAAATAAAATTACCAAAACTTTGTTAAAAAATATCTGAACCTTGTTTTGAATTCCTACATGCAGAGATTGATCACTCTGATTTAAAACATGTCTTGCTCTCATATTTTTTGCTACCTAACTTAAATTTAAAGGATGTTAGCTAAAATTTTTTTATCCTAATCCTATATTGAGAGTAGGCTCCATATAAATTTAATTTCTGACCATCATAACGAAAAAAAAAGTTTTTTAAAAATATTTTCTTTTCATCTTAATACCTGGTCTGTCATCTAGCTTAAGTGAATCATAGTTTGCAAATTAAGAAAATTTGTTACAAGAAATATTCTGCAAGTTAATCAATATGATTATATAATTAAAGATTTTTACATAGCGATCACCTATATAATAGTTTATTATTTCTTGAAATTGGAGTGATAGAAAAATGGAAGAATTGCAAAAACGAAACGATAATAAAGAAAGAGAAAAAAGATGCGTTTACGTAGGATGAAGTGATTTTTCAAAGGCAGAAAAATGTGGAAATCAATTTTTATGGTTAGAGATAAGATTACGAGATTTTTTTTTTTTTTTTTCAAAATCTAGATTTATTGTATAACTTAGAAATGACAAATTTATCAAAGAATAATACATTTATTTAAACTTTGGATTGTCTTCTTAACTCGAGTCAATTTCTCAGGCTACATTTCCTAGTCTAGAACGGCTGGTTGTGAAATGGAATCACAATATGAAGATACAGTGTGGACATCATCCAGATGAATATTTTGGTAAACTAAAGGTTCTGCACCTCATTGGCTTTCCTAAGCAATCGGCTTTTCTTCGGCGTTTCTTCTTCCACTCCCTGCCCAATCTCAGAAAGCTTCTTGTGAAGGATGCTTCCTTCGATGAAATATTCCAATGTGAAGAAGTTACTGGTGAGGAAAAACCTGCATGTGGACGCACTCCATTAAGGAAATTAAGATTGTCCAAACTTCATGAGCTAACACATCTTTGGAAGGAAGAATCCCAACTTGAAGTAGACATTCTCAGAAACCTAGTAACTCTAAAAGTGCAGGAATGTAGCATATTGAAGAATTTAGTTCCCTCCACTGTATATTTTGACAATTTGCGGACTCTAGTGGTATCTGAGTGTCATGGACTTGTCAATTTAGTGAGATACTCAACAGCAAAAAGCTTGGGCCAACTCAGAAGAATGAAAGTAGCCAATTGTAAGATGATAGAAGAAATTGTCGTATGTTCGGGTGATGCTGTGAACAATGGCATTGTTTTCACCAAATTGGAGTGTTTGCAACTTAAAGGTCTACCAAGACTAGAAAGCTTCTGCTCAGGGGATTGCAACTTTAAATTCCCAGCTTTGGAAGAGGTAATTATTACAGAGTGTCCAAATATCAAGATTTTCCCCAAGGGAGAACTGAGCACACCAAGACTGTATGAAGTGAAATTGACAGGAGACATATATGAATGTATGGATAAAGATATAGATGAAGATACAGAGAAAAGAATAGATGATATTTTTAATAAAGATGAAGATGAAGATGAAGATGAAGATGAAGATGAAGATGAA